GTTTTTTTGTGATCTTCAGGGCGATCAATTTTGGGAATCAATTTAGAATAACAATATGCAATTATAATTTTGACAATTTCATACTTAGGACTGCATTATGGAATTGTGTTGCATTTCTCCAAAATTTGATGTAATTTATTAACAGGCAAAGAACAGAGCTTGGTTAAAAGATAGTGTCTACTGTTGTTTTTTTAAATAGAAATTAGGTCCGACATATTAGTATTGTTATTACGAAATTTTCTTTGATTGCGATTTATTCTACGCCCATGAGAACGGTTTTTACGAACTGTTTTAGAAACTATATCCAAAATGTTAACAGAATCTATTCTAGATATATTACCAATTCCCATGATATTGTCGTTAAGACCGAGAGGATAGACTGTCTGTAATTTTTTAATCCAATTTAATTCAATTATTTTTCGTGATCGTACAAATTTTAAATGAGATTTCCCAGGCTGCTTATTAACTACTTCTAAAGGTTGAACTGTTAAATATTTAAAAGGATGATTGTGCTTCTTAAGGTGTTGATAAATGATACTTTTGAATTTATGGGGTCTTTTAAAACGATAAAGGTGTTCTTGCGTGCGTTTGCACAAATTGAATATGCAATAAATAGACATAAGGTTTTTACCCCCAAATAGCTGAAAAATAACAATTGCACTAGTATCAGTTTATTGATATTTTCGAAAGACCTAATTAATAATTAGTGAAGGAAGCACTCGTGGATTTAGTCAAAGAACTTTTAACTACTGAACCTAATTGAGCCTGGACTTTCAGGTACGATTTGTTTAATAAAATTTGGCATTAGCATCAACGTAGTGACTTATCACAACTTTTTAATGATTGTGTATCATAAAGATTTTGGTATTAACATTTTCTTTTGGGGGATAATTGTCAATTTCTTATCACAGCTTAGACCAAAGAGTTACGTGTGATTTAAACTATTTTCATAGGCAATTACTTCTATTTTCTTATGACAAAAGCTGTAGTGTTATCTCTTTGTTATTGTTGTTTTTCACTGTTATAAGACATAAAAGAAATCATCTATATCTAATCAGAAAATTTAAAACTATGGCTAAGATGTTTAATTGGGCTAGATTTTTACACTGAATGATAGATAAAACTGAGAGAACTCTTTCTTTTAAAATACACACATTTTCTGATCATACAAATCTGAAAGGGAAGAATTAATCTATCGGAAATAAAGGAAGACGCAAATTTGGAAAGGAATCTTTCGGTCTCATATCCAAAAGATAATAAAGGTTGCCATATTTTCTTCTGAACAAAAATCTTATAAACGTGAGCACAATACATGTATCAATGATCGTCAAAAGTACTATCTTCCCTTGTCAATCTGTTAAAGTAATAGTAGAACGTCAGTGTAATATGTCTTTTATTAGACATGTTAGATAAATGTTTACAATTGACAATCGAGAGTCGAGAATCTTCAGTTGAGACATTTAAATAAGGGATAATCTCAAAAATATAAATTTAATTATTGATTAACTCGGCACACCAATGGCTTCAAATAAATATAAGAATTTGTGATTAAAGATTTTCCCACCTTTTCTAACATATGATTATTAGTATGTTGGTTGGTTGGTTGGTAAATTTGTTGCATAACATCAAGTAGCATCACATTCTTCTTAAAAACTGGTTTATTGATTATTGAAATTTTGGATATTGTTAAATGATACGAACTTCGCATTCATTAATCGACTGATTCGCTTGGTTTGTCTGCTTAATAGAATGATGTATTGATTGATAGTTACGGAAAGAGACGGATATTTTATATTGATAAATTCATTGATTGATTGTTACTGTGACGTCCAGTGATAAATACTTAACGTAAATTTTTTACTCATGGAATGATAAATGCACTGTGTGCTCCAAATCAAGGGGCAGACCGGAAACAAGTTCCTCAATTAAAACATACACAGGTTCGGGTTCCTACGAACAGGCGGAACAAAAAGGTCGATCCTAGATCCCCTTAAATTACACGTTTCCGGATAAGTGCAACATGTCTATTTGTATTTAAGGATGTTCGCTCCTCTTGTTATTGAAATTTCGCCAGATATTCGAAATCCTCTGAATTTATCCATGTAGTGCCAATAAAGATTTTGCCCGTTAACCCCTACTTTTCTTTTCATAATTTTATTACATATAGTTTAAAAAGCCGTATTTGAAATTTTTATAAAATCTTTGTTATTTTTTCATAGTTTTTGAAAGAAAAAAGGTACCAATGTTAAATGTAGGAAAAATCTAGAGAGAATCATTTCCCGCCAACTTTTCAAAGGCTTATATCTCGAAATCAAGCACACTTACCCTTCATTTTTTTACGCTTTTTTATCTCCTTTATTTGTATACTATCAATTTATAACAGTCTTTTAAAAAGCTTGTTATTTTGAAACAGAGTAGCGAACATCCTTAAGTCATGATATTTCTAGGCCTGTAAAATACAGGATTCAACACTCCTCTACTTCTCCCTTTTCGAAAAATATCCTTTTATTTTCCTATATCATTTCAGTGGGGTCATGCAAAGATTAACATCCTCTCTAAAAAATATCCTTGAATCTTCTTTTATGAATTTCTTTTTTTCTAGGGATTGTCGGAATTTATGTTTTATGTACTTGTTGTGTATGCATTTTGTTTTCATTGTAACTAAAATCGGATTTGGTTCTTGACTTTTGTTTTATTGTTTTACATATCTCTGTGAATCTAAAATTCCTCTGTATTTTCTTTTACCTATTTTTGTAGAAGGGGCGGGGAAATTATACACAACATTTCGTTAAATATTCGTCACTGTTCGCCAAAACAAACAATCAATCAATCAAATACTCAATATGAAATATGCGTCTCTTTAAGTTATGCAAACTGTCAATCATTAAATCATTCCACCAATTAATCAGCCAATCAAACAATCAATCAATACACCTACCGATCAACCAACCCTTCGATATGAAGAATTTGTCAATTGATGTTATACAAGCAGTTTATCAACCACGCAATCAACCAAAAATCATGTTTGATTTACTACTACTAAGGGGTGTTTAATGACCTTGACTACCCATGAGGGTCTTGCACGGTCGTGTTAGATTTAGAAAAATATGGAATGACTTATATATCCAATTGTTTGCTATACAACAATTTTGTAAAACAATTATTTTACATTTATATTAGTATCAATGTTATAAAAGCCATTAATGTTCCGAGTAATTCCATCATTAAATTCATACTTTTGAGATGATCCCTTATTTAAATGTCTCAACTCTAGACTCTTAACTCTCAATTGTCAATTGTAAACATTTATTTAACATGTCTATTAGATGGATGACTGTGGTCTTTGTTTTACTAAGAAATTGAAACAAACCAAGCCAGTTTAAAAAAGAAAGGCACATCTCCTTACTTTAAAAGTGAGGCGAAAGATACCGAAGGGACATTCAAAGTATTTAGTCAAAAAACAAACTGACAATGCCATGGCATCTAACATATTATTAAGAATGTCAACCAAAGCTTGGAGAGATGAATCATGAATAATGAAGATGATGGAGGGATTGACAATAGATTTTATCTGGTGCCCATGTTGCATTATGGTAATAAGCTAAATATTTTTCTTTGCAAAAAAGACTGGAGGAGAGAAAATACCAACGGAGCAACAAAAAAAATAAGTTGAAGAAAAACAAACAACACCATCACCAATAGAAAACGACGACAAGACAAACACCAGTTCACTGTACTCAACGCAAAAAAACAAAAGATTAAGCAAAACGAACTCCACAAAACACTGAGTGAACTTATGTAAAATAATTAATAAAAAAGCAAGATTCTGTAAATCTTCTAGATTTATTTTCTGTATCTAAACAGTTGGCATAAGAGTTGTTGCATGTCCAAAGCGGTGAGCCAGACTCTGGAAACTGTAAATACAAACAATAGATATGTTTGGTGAATTAACATGAAAATGATGTATTTGGGTTACATTATATTCCTTTGAGGTTGTATGGATCATATATTACTCTCATATCAAATTTTAAGAAATGGAAAAATGGGTGTTTTTTATTCTTTTGTTTTCTTACGAGGCAGTATTCCACCAACAGCTGTTGGTACATTAGCTCGCGTCCTGTGGTAGCGAGCCCATTTTTATCTTGCTTTCCAAATTATATCCCGTTGATATTTCTTTGTTAAAGTAAGTGGTCGACATGCAGGTAGGTGCACTATATTTGTATTGACATACGACATATGGTATAGATATCTGTACCATGTGCTGTTTGTTTTTGTTTACACGTCTATTTTTTTTTTCTGCGAAGTTGTGTGCTAGTTGTTGGTGTGGTCTGCCTTTTATTTTTGGGTAATTCATGTTATCCTTTCTATGTAATATCAACATTTCAGCTTCTTAATGTAAGTAAACGTATCTATTTTTATCTAATAAGCCTGTTACCTTGGATTTATATTCATGACAAGCCCAACTTGTTGGTAAATAATATTGTTGGCATGTTGATAAAAAGAGATAACATATTCCCCTTGAGTCTTAATGATTCTGGCAGAGTCGGTCTTAAAATATTTTAGCTGTTCTGTTTGGACTCTTAATTATAAGGTTTAGATTTTCGTAATCAAAATTTGTGTATATATTGTATTCCAAACTATTGGTCATGAATATAGGGTTTTCCAGAAACACGTGTCATGCATAGAACACTAGATGTTATTCTTTTTAATTATTTCTTGTATCTTCATGCGATGAAAAGTATTTGTAAGCTTTCTATAGTTTAGAATATATTAAATCTCAAACGACAAGGACATAGAAATATGACAGTATATAGACAAAGAAATTTTTCTGAGTGTACTCTGACAAATTTTTAAATCTTCAAAATTACATACCTGTCAGATTCATTGAAACTTTGAATAGACGAGAAATATTTAAACTTCAAACATCTTAAAGTTTTCGTGATAATATACAACCTCCTCTTTAGTGATTATAGAGTTTGATATAAGCAGAATATGTTTACCTTTTACAAACCAGTGGACATCCGAATTGCAGGAGATGATCCATTTTGATGAGTGTGTGGCATTCAGCTTCACATGCCTGCTCAGTTCCATCTGTACCTAATGAACCTACTATCCCGTCTACTAATGTTTTCAGTTCATCGGTTTGAAATAAAGTATCTGAAAAAGAAAAATAGTTTATCACAACCATCAAAAGTTGCTTATGATATATATATATATATATATATATATATATATATATATATATATATATATATATAATTTGTAGAGAACCGATAATTATCCTTTGTATACAAAATGTTGTATATTTTTTTTCTTTCAATGCAATTTTCAACTTCTTGAAAGTGATAAAAAAGAGATATATTTAATACTCCGAGTTATCAGTATTTTCAGTAAGTGTCGTCATGTTAAACATATTGCAGTTAAAATTAAATTTCAATACATAAACAAACTACTAGTAATCAATAAAACAAGCACACTACGAAAAACCTTTCAATATCAAATATCAAAAAGATACGACTTTTTTTCAACACCACCCCTTTTCCCCAAAAACAATTAGAGAAAGAGATGGAAAGGCTTCAGATGAACGACATTGTTTGAGACTTTAAAATATCTTCCAGAATTTTAAATTTGTGCTTTAATCAGAATTTCAAAACTATAATTGATTGTCTAAAAGTTTGAGTTTTGTGTAGTAAAACACTATCAATCACTCTTTGGCTAGCGGTAATGGTACCAAACCAACAAAGTTATAACCTGTTTCATGATAAAATAGTACATTAATTGAAAACAAAATACTAGACTTACTTTCTCTGTTCAATTGCTGTTCCGGGTTTCATAATTTTATATAAAATATATTGGGTTTTTACATAAAGAAATAAAAATCACAGCCCCGTGAGCACTTACCAAAAACAAGTCTTTTCTGTGGCATAGAAAATACAACAGGTAACACCAACAATAGAGCAAAAGCAAGTTTCATCTTGAAGTTTTTTTCTGAAAGTAAATCGCAATAGATTATTTAAAACGATATTTTCTTTAAATTCATACAAAATACAGTGTATAATCGATAAATGTCTATATCGTTCAAAATGGAACTAAATTCTTTGTATTGGTATGTCAATTACCATACATCGAAACGTTTCAGTGCGAATTTAATGGCAAAAATTATTGCCCTTGCAAACACTGCTAAATTGAAATGTTTAATAAATTACAAGTTCTCTATGTGTACGTTAAAGATGATTAGTCCGTTCAAATAATAAAATGTAATTAAAACAGAATAACCATATAATGCTATTATTTCACTTTTAATATAGCAAGTGATGGGAACAGCATGCTGTGTGTTTTTTGTCTAAAATCGGTTTGAAATATTATATGGGGGTTAAATTTGTCAAGGACCAAAATATTTTTCCTTGAAACATATAATATAATATTCCTCTTACAACTTTTTCTCTTTGTTAAATAATAAAGGACGTTTGCAGATTTAAATGACAAAAATCAGATGAAGGAGTGAAACGTGTATCTGATAGTTGCAAATAGGTAAACATTATTTTAGATAGCTTTTAGCTTCAAATGCACATGTACTGTAAAACCATATATAAAATGTGAGTAAGATAGAACTTTTCTTTTATACTGATAAGTGGTATCAAGGAATTTCTTTTGTAAATGTACTAAATATTGAGATATTCGGGTTCAAAAACAAATAAGCATTCAGAAATCAAGTATGTTTCAGCTTAACAAAATAAACTCTCCAAAGACTGAATGTAGCAAAATATGATATTAACTACTCTTATTTAGCGCATTTAAATCTATGCCAAGTTACATTGGTTACAATTAAGATTACGTCTTACCTGTTTGCAATGAAGTACGTTAGAGACAGTATATAAGCATGCTTTGTCTTTTATAGTCTCACGAAACCTCTTATCTTCGATAACCTCAATACAAACTATCACGTTTGAACTAAAATTTTGACAAATGATAAACCAACGGCCATTCCACTTTGTGAATGACTAATACATGTAAATTCTTTTTGCATGTTTGCCCTTCCCTTTCAACTTTGAAATATAATTATTTTTATTAAGAACCCCCTGCAGAATAAAAAAAAAAGAAAAAAAGGTATTTGAAAAATCATAATCATAGACTACTTTGGCACAGAACCCCCTGCAGGATAAAAAAAATAGGAAAAAGTTTTTGAAAAATCAGAACCATAGACTACTTTGGCGGACATGTTTATCATTTGATAGGAACTAAATGAGAAATTTTGTAAGAAATTGATATTTATTTCAAGAGGATGGCCTCATTACCAAAAGCTAATCTTCTTTAGGGTCCTCAAATGATTTATATGCATCGTCGACATCGAGGGAAAATGAATGAAATGATAGTATTAAAAGGACTTGAATCTTTAGATAAGTATATTTGCTGAATTTTGAAACTTGTCTTATGACGATGTTTGTAATTTGAATTACACTTTGCCAATTATTTAAATACATGTAATATTGACCCCTACACAGATGACGAGTTCAAAAACATTAGCACATAAGCGTGATGTGCAAACTTTCAATTAATTGCGAAGTATTTATATACAGCGAAATACATGTAATATGGAAAATTAAATTTGTTCATATTGAAAATTTCTGGCTTGTGAAATTAGGACAGAGTTGTAAGGTATATAAATAAAATCAAGGAGGAACATCATTAACAATCTTTTAATCTATTAAAGAGTCGAAGTGATATATCTTATTTCAAAGGATAAGTTATTTTGTAATAAGATGTGCAAATGAAGAAATGACCTTTCGACTCATGATTCTTTGTGTCAGAAGCAATTGTAATGTTGTACGGTCATCTTGTCAACGATGTGTAAACAATACATGAGATTTCATACAAAAAAGATTTAAAATGTTTTAATTAATAGATAAAGGATTTACGTGAAAAAAAACTATTGATGATAATTCAAATTAAAAAAAAGGAAAATTGTGTACTGATTTTATATTTAAAAACATCTCCCAAAGTAAATCATATACAAAATTATATTCTTCTGATAGATTCTCCGTAGTATGAAATTAAAAGACAATTTTGCATCCAATTAAGATCAAAATATTATATTTCTATTGCTCCTTATAAACTACGACATTTTTAATTTCATTACATGTCAAGACTATAACCTCTAGGATTTAATAATATTCTGTCAGTGTTAAAGTTTGGTTGGTATATATGTTTATCCTTGTATTTTCCACAACCCTGTATCTATTGTTTTAGTTCCGGACATGCAAAAGAAAAATCTCCACCAGTGTTACATTTCAACCCTCTTTTACACAACATGCATTCTATATATTCTATTTTCGTAGTAACCATGATAGTACATTCCATTGTCCATCGACTATGTTTATTCACTTCTACAATACGGTAACTGGTGTTTTGTTTGTATCTTTCGGTGAATCAATGGGACATTACAATTATTTAGTAACAGATATGTAATAATGCTATTTCTGAATGACTAAATGCTAAGTTATTGGATGTTCGTCAAGGTCGTTACCTAAGATATGATTGGATACCGTCAGTGTGAAAGGAAATTAAAAGTGGTACATGTATTTATCTTTACATTTATTATGTATGTGAAGCTAGCAGCCGGTTCGATATTCAAATTTTTTCAGTTAAAATAATAAAAGCTGGATATTTAAAAGATTCCGTCTTAAAATGATAACCATGTCAAAAAAAGTAGATATGAAGAAAAAGAACCGATAGAAATCTGTTTCTGACTACTACCTGAGACTACTATTAATTACTGTTATTGTAGTCACAGCTCCTACAGATAATAGTAATTTCTCGTTGCTCTTACATAGAACACGATTTTATATTTATAGATTATCAATCTTTAACGATAAAAATGAATCAAAAATCTCATGTTATTACATGACCATGCCAAATATGAAAACAAGAGCAATTTATATAAAAAATATTTAACTGTGGAAAATCATAATGAACGTTTCAACCGTCATAAATTTAAGGTGGTACCAAACATCTGTTCTAGATTTCAAGATAATAAGCTTAAATGAAAAAAATGGTAAAATTTGTGATTAAAGGGCTATAACTCCTATAAGAAGTCGTCTGACAGTTTTGACATGGATGGACAATAGGTAGAGCTCAACAATTTAAAAATTTCTGCCTTATCAGAATTTCTCTAATTATAGCGGTTTTCAAAATAAAACAAAACTAGCATTTTACCCCTATGTTCTATTCTCAGCCATGTCGGCCATCTTGGTTGGCAGGCGGGGTCATCGGACACATTTTTTAAACAAGATACCTCATTGATAATTGTGACCAAATTTGGATAACTTTGGCCCAGTAGTTTCAAAGGAGAAAATTTGTGTAAAAGTTACAGATGATGACGACTATGAACGCCTAGTGATGAGAAAAGCTCACTTGGCCCTTTGGCTAAGATAAAAATAAGAAGATGTGGTATGATTGCCAATGAGACAACTCTCTACACGAGACCAAATGACATAGAAGTTATCAACTATAGGTCATGGTATATGTGGTAGTGAATCTATTATATAACAGCTAGACAATGATCCATAATACAGACCGATCAACTTAGCCCAATTTTGGCTTGCCTATCTTTGATTTCACAAAATGTAAAAAAAAATCCGTACCGTTCAATCAATAAATCAAATCATCAATGATGCTACGAGACAGCTAATATCACTTGAAAATCAACCAGATTTGTACTTCCATGAACAACACGATGGGTGCCACATGTTGAACAGTATCTGCTAAAAGAGAGGCGAAAGATACCAAAGGGACATTCAAACTCCAGGGCTAAAAAAGAAAAAGACAAAGAGACAAACAACAGTCCACAAAATACATCATAGAAAACTAAAGACTGAGCAACATGAACCCCACCAAAAACTGGGGGTGATCTCAGGTGCTCCGGAATCGTAAGCAGATCCTGCCCCTCATGTGACACCCGTCATGTTACTCCTATAAAATACGTTAAGTTATATCAAGTAATTAAACTTCACGCAATAGCGGATTGGTAACTGACCCTTATCTAACCCTAAGACAATACAATTCTAGACCATCGGTCAAAATTTTTCTAACCCTGAGAATTGACCGAATGTGAAATTTTGAAATTGAATTAAGTTTTTCTTGGCATAGGATAAACGAGACTGTTACCGGTATAAACACAAACATTGAAAAATTAAAAAGAACAACACATATAACTTAAGCAAGAGCAACACGAACCCCTTTAAAACAAGAGTGCACACGCTGAAATGAATCGCCTTCTTTACTAGTCATTGATATTATGTTGATTGTTCTAAATATAAAGCTTTACTACAACTATCACCTAAAACTTAACATGATCCAAAAAAATGAGGTCAAGGTCATATAAACCAAACAAGAAATACATGTACACCTTACAATCATTCAATACACCAAATATAGTTGACCTATTGCTTATAGTTTCTAAGATACAGACTTAACCAAGAAAACTAACATTGACTAATGAACCATGAAAATGAGGTCATGGTCAGATGAACCATGCCAGGCAGACATGTACAGCAATAGAAAAACAGATCAAAACACAAAAACTGAACACTGAGCTATGAACCGTGAAAATGAGTTCAAGGTCAAATAAAACCGGCCAGACTGACATGTACATCATAAAATATTTCCATACACCAAATATAGTTGACCTATTAGATATAGTATTAGAAAAAAAGACCAAAACTCAAAAATATAACGTTGACCACTGAATCATGAAAATGAGGTCAAGGTCAGAAGACACCTGCCAGCTAAACATGTACACCTTACAATCATTCCGTACACCAAATATAGTAGATCTATTGCATACAGTATAAGAAAAACAGACCAAAACACAAAATCTTAACTATAATCACTGAACTATGAAAATGAGGTCAAGATCAGATGACACCTGCCAGTTGGACATGTACACCTTACATTCCTTCCATACACTGAATATGCTAGACCTATATCTTCTAGTATCTGAGATATGGACTTGACCACCAAAACTTAACCTTGTTCACTGATCCATGAAATGAGGTAGAGTTCAAGTGAAAACTGTCTGACGGGCATGAGGACCTTGCAAGGTACGCACATACCAAAATATAGTTATCCTATTACTCATTATAAGAGAGAAATTAACATTACAAAAAATCTTAACTTTTTTTTCAAGTAGTCACTGAACCATGAAAATGAGGTCATTGACAATGGACATGTGACAGCGGAAACTTCGTAACATAAGGCATCTATATACAAAGTATGAAGCCTCCAGGTCTTCCACCTTCTAAAATACAAAGCTTTTAAGATGTTAGCTAACGCCGCCTCCGCCGCCAGATCACTATTCCTATGTCGAGCTTTCTGCGACAAAAGTCGCAGGCTCGACAACAAATCTAGGGGTGACCTCAGGTGCTCCGGAAAGGTAAGTAGATCCTGCTCCACATGTGGCACCCATCATGTTGCTCATGTTAGTACAAACCCGGTAACAAGTGTAATTCGGGGAAAAGGGGACGGGATTGTAGTTTGTAGACAATTGGAACATATCCGCTGTCATCTGTGAAACGGATATTCCATAACGGTCAACCAACTCGTGATGGCGTCCGTAAAATTTACGAAGGGATGATTTCAACTTCACCACTTGGGTTCGTGTTTCTCAGTCTAAGATTTCTTTGTTGTGTTTTGTGAACTGTTTGACTTTTCGTTGTATTCGTTTTTTGTCATGGTATTGTCAGTTTGTTTTCGACTTATGAGTTTTAATATCCCTTTGGTATCCTTCCTTCGCCTCTCTTCCACGTCTATATGGCATTTTTTGTTATTTTTTGTAGAAATAGTTATTTGTCTTTATAGTGATTAAGATTATATTACAATGTTGACTGCTGTACCCCAATTTTTGACAATTTTACCTATTATGTCTGTTTGTTTTGCTCACACATTGTTGTCAATCGAATTCTATGCGACTGTCATACAAGTGAGAGGTTTAGCTAGCTATAAAACAGGATAAATCCACCATTTTCTACATTAGGAAATGCCTGTATCAAGTCAGGAATATGACAGTTGTTTTCTATTTTCCCTAGGAGTTTGGTATTTTTGTTATTTTACTTTTTTCCACACATGTAAATTATTATATCAAGTAATTTCTTTTTAAATGCATTATTCAAAGCTCGTCTGACATGCATTGAAAGGGATATAAATGCCACTTTGTAAAAATGTCACTTAGTTTTGTAGATACATGTATTATTCAAGCAGATTTTTTTTTATTTGAATAAAGCATCATAAATAGTAAAAACAAAGTGATGTGGATAGTTTTCCAATACATTTCCTTCTTTTTAATGTCAACTATGCTTCATTTTTGATAACTGAGATTGATTGTCATCTGTAAAAGAGTTCCAGATTTTTTATAACCCCTTAGACATTTCTTTGGATTTCATTTAAAATATTTTATTCAACTATACAAGCTGCTGCAATGCATTCAAAACAGCCATCTTAACTCAGCTTCAAGACAAAAGATTTTGTCTCAAAATGAATAATTTGTGGTTGGATACAGTTTCTTTTAACTGACAACACTAGAAATGTTGAATCTCAATTGCATAAAGTTGTAGTCGTTTTCGTCATTATTTCGTTAAAATAAACCAGGGGCTCTTTACACAAACCTTCAAGATTTTTTTGCGAAATGAGTCGCAGAGCTATATATAATTACAAGTACACCTTGCTGCTTTCAAAATTTTGAGATAAAAGGTGCAAGTTTTCTGCCGTTTTTTTATTTTTATTTAAAACAGGATTCAAATATTGCAGAGACTGGCAGAATGTGATACATATAATTAATCACAACATCAACGAAATAAAAATAGAGGATGTTAATATCCATGACTTCCAAACTTCGAAAGCAACAATACAACTTTGAAAACATCCTGTTGATTTCCTACAAACCACAGTCAATGCTTTAATATAATAAATGTTATAATGCAATAAACAATTATTTATTTTGGATTTTTTTTCCATATAACCTAATATAATGCAAAGTAATGTTAAAATTCAAAATAAAATAATGTTAATCAATTAAATTTATGAAATAGAAATAAAAGTAACACTATATACATTTATTTATTCTGGGTTTTTTTTCTTCATATAACTGAATAAAATGCAAAGTAATGTAGAAATTTAAAATAAAATAATGTTTTACCATTTATAAAGAAGATATAAAAGTAAAATTTGAGATTCTTTATATTATGCTTCAACTGAGATATCATAAATGTATTCACTAAGCAAAAACTAATTATTTTATACAAAGTAAAGCTCTATAGAAGCAAAAACCTTAATGCTTTCAATTGGTTACCTTGTTTATTGTCTTATTTTTGCATTTATATCATTAAGAATCAAAGCAGTGAGTATCATTTACTTGCAACCTGTGAATTCAATTCATTTATCAAAATAATTCTGAAAGGTGGCCATCATTAAACATTTTAGTGGTAATTAGTCTGTAAAGGTTATGTAATTATTAAATTATTAGCACTTACAAAGTTAGGTTGGTTGGTTTGTTGCTGGAATCAGCAAATGTGCATTTTAAAATAGACATTAAGAAATAATTAGGACAAGTCTATTATTAAAATTGGCATAAAGATTACAGAGGAAAAGATTATAAATGAAATGTTTTCCTGGTTCCAATCCATAATGTAAGTGTCAAAGGAAATAATAAAAGGAACAATTTTGAGAAAAACTAATAAAATCACAAAATCTTTAGCTAATGTTTTTCTCCTTCAAATTTATAATCATTGTAATAGCAGCACTTTTTGTTGGTGGGTCCAAAATAGATACAAATGTTAATTGGATTAATTTATGTTTGGTAATAGGAACCAACTTTTATTTTGGGATGGGTCATGGAATGTACATTTTCACAGCATTCCTATCAATTTGATTAGGAACCTGTTGTCCAAAATGGCTCATATTTATTTTATTTTTTCTATTAAAATGATATTCAATCTGACAAAAGAATCTACTAAATCATTTTAGAAAGAAAATGCCACATTAAATGCATTTCACAGAACTTATTAAAACTAGTTTACCCTTTCGTTCTAATTTAACAGTAGTCTTATCAGTTGGTTAGTGGGACCATTTCTCAATATTTTTATAAAACAGGTAATTCTTTCATGGAATTAAACTGAATTGACAAAATGTAAATCTAAGACAATGCACATATCTAATTGAGATTATGAGATATGAACAATGCATATTAAATCAAAAAAATAAATTAATGAACAATTATCAATACTACTGTTCGATTAAACACATATTTATGAATGTTTCAAACAAGAATGAAATTAACAGTTTCAAAACTAAAATTTAACTTTTTTGATTCTATCATCACTGACGAGTCTTATATAGATGAAATGCACATATGGCGTATAAAATTTTAATCCTGGTATCTATGATGAGTTTATTTATATGTGTTCCTTAAACCATTGATTATTGGTGTGTTCAATAGTTCTAGTATATACATTCAAATACATATATCTAATATCTGTTCTATATGTCTACATGATTACAAAATCCGATTAAAATCAGATCTTTCACTCTACCACTAGAATTTGTTTGTTGCACTGTGGAAGATCTGAAGACATCCCATCAGGGTCATACTAAAATGATCTTTTAGCATTCATTCATATCATTTTGGGTAAGGCTTTTGGTAAAGTTAAATTAGACCAAAAACTAAATGTAAAATAGCCATATTTGCTCAAAAGTTGTAATTCAGAATGTCAAAGTGAGACCAGTTTATATCATCTTTTTAAGCAAGCATTAAAATAACATAAATATGAAAGGATTTAAGAATCTTACTATTTTTTCAATTTAATGCACCAATTAATGGCTTTAATCATACCTATTCTTAATATTGTTAACAACCTTTTTAACATAATATAGCTACTTTAAATCTTTTTTTTGAAAACGTCTGAATGCAGCTTAAGTACAATGCATGATAAAAATAGCTGTGTATTTATTCATCTATTGTCTTAACTTTCTATCACGTATAATTCAAATTAACTAAACATGAGAGCGGGTAAGTATATATCTGGCTATAATATGATGAAACCCAAACTTTAAATTGTTATGGCACAAATTTAATAATCATAACTGATATATTCACAGCGATACATTCTGTGGATTAATTATTATTCCTAGTGTACTGATTTTTGTAGGTACAAAATTTTACAGTTAAAAAAAATACAGATTTCCTTATATTCAAAATTTGTCCAACCCTTTTAAGTATCCATAAAAATACCATTTTTTTTCTACAATCTACTAAAATTGATAGAAAAGACAACAAATGAATCCTCAATACTTGTAAACTTATCTGACTCAGTAGCACCTAAGTTTATTAATAAAAAATACTGTATAATTAACTACAGAAACAAAGCTCTTCATACAAAATAAACAATAATTAACATATTTTTTAAATGAAAATAAATAAAATATTTCTGAATTCATACTGTGAACAATCTTAATATGTGACATCATGGAACACACTTCTCTACTTTAATAAACAGGAATATTACTTAATCATAGTTCTTAAGATCAATGTATAAAAATGGGTCCACCTTTGCAAAAGTTGTAAATCCCTGGTATACAAATTAAAGACAGACACCAATTCATTATAAAATTGCAATTGTTTTTGCACTGCTTGCATCAGTATAAAAAATTCTTAAATACTTTTGCAACAATAATATTAAAATAATTCATTCTAGATATTAAAACATACTTTAACACAACAAAATAAAAAAAACAAATGTTTATATCAATACATCAATATGACTGTGTTCATGTCTTTAATGCTGTGTGTCTATGATGCAGTTTCTACACATCAGTGAAAGATAAGGTGTGGACTGTAGTCTGCTCTTTTGATTCCAAGGAAGTCACATGCATTCTTCACAAGTAATTTATCCTAAAACAAAAACAAATCACAATTGAACAAAATATATTGAGATTTGAAAATCAAATCTCTATTGTCAAATAAGAACGTGACAAATATAACAGAAAAAATACAATTAAGGCATACAGTTAAATATAACAAGATACCAAACAAGAGGTTTTGCTGAAGCCAATTTTATATGTTGGTTGTGAGTGTCTGTATCATAAAACATCTATTGTTGCTCTTAAAAAATGTAAGTTTAAAGATTAGATAAATTTTTAGAATATTTTCTTGCAGCCACAAAAGAACATCACAATGTAAAATTATACTTGTTAATCAAAAATACTGATAGTGTGTTAGGTGTTTCCAATAATTTGGCTTTTCACTGCCCAATTCACTCAACTTTTCCTCTGTGATAAATTAAATGCTGTTTAGACAATTCACTAAAGATCAATTGCAGTGAGTTGATCAAGTTTCAAGGGAGATAACTGTTAACAATTTCCTTTTGTAATAAAGTTTTGTTTATGATGACGTCCCAACAAAAGAATTCTTATCACAGGAGTAAAACTTAAAAAAATAGACCATAAAGCTACGTTTCAAGTCCAGCTGAAGAAAGACTATATTTGCACAAAATTTGGAAGGAAATGTTGGTTAACTTTCTGTATGATGTAAGTGAATATTAGACAAAATTTAGAGAAACATTTTTAGGGATAATTTGAAAATGGAAAAAAAAGACTTGTAAAATGCCTCTAAAAAGTTTGACATTTTTATAATATTTTTTTTATCTATTCCTGACTGTGACATTGTTGTCTGTTATTGATGTAACATATAATTAAGCTGTCAAAATCTTGGTCTCACTTCTGGTATATCCACTCAAAGTCATGCTAGTGCTTAACCTGTTGCGCAGAAGAGAACTTTAGTCTATATTTTATCAATGTCAATCAAACAATTATAGATGCTTTATCTGTAGATAAAGTTTTCAGAATTAAACCAAGGTTTCTTACAAGGAATCAGCTCCCAGGGACTAAAGAATGATTTCTTCCCATTCCTATGCAAATACTTTGAATTGAGATATCATATTTGCTCTTTTAGAAGAAGATATTCCATTGAAGGTATAATAAGGCCCCTTTTTATACCCCTTGAATTCGAAAATGAAAAAGTATTATAAATCTACCAAATAACACCCTTCAGGTATACAACATATGTCTGTCTGTCAGACATCTGTACTTATTACGTGTCTTACATATTACCTTTAGCCTAAGGTCCTAATATGGGTATACAAGGGCTGATATGGGAAATGCCATGTATTAATTTATCTATTTCGCATGTGACAGCTGATATGGCTCTCCCATTGAAATTGCTTTGGAAGCCTATATCAGCCCCAGTTCAGACTGTGTGTTTGCCCTGGGCAGAAATATGACTTAGGTAAATCTGCATTTATTACATATGCAAAACCTAATGTTTTGGTAACAACTATGTAAAAAAAGAAAATATCCTCTTTTTGATCTAACTTTATAGAATTAATACAGAACAAGAAATGATTGTAACAGGATGCTGTTACGAAGTCTCCCAAACGAAGCTCCCATAATTCGTAATTCCCAGGGTCGTCTGACATTGGACAAAGTCCAGTGAAAATTGGTTTGGTCCAGTAAAGTTATATGCATTAGTGATGCCTGGGGACTAACCCTGTATATCATTCAAATCATCTTGGCATGACATACCAGAATATATATGGTTTAGGGGTGGGGATCTCGACCATTTACAAGATACTAGAACATTGAGGGTGGGGGGAACCCCTGGGGACTGACCCTAAACGTCATTCAAATGTTCGAGACATGACGAACAGGAATATATATGGTTTAGGGGTGGGGATCATGACCATTTACAAGATATTAGAACTTTCTCAAATGACAGGGGGTCGGGATGACCCCTGGGGATTAACCCTGTATATCATTCAAACCATCTTGGTATGACAAACCAGAATATATATGGTTTAGGGGTGGGGATCTCGACCATTTACAAGATATTAGAACTTTCTTAAATAGCAGGGGGTGGGGGTGACCCCTGGGGACTTACCCTGTTTATCATTCAAACCATCTTTGCATGACAAACCAGAATTTTTATGGTTTAGGGGTGGGGATCTTGACCACTTACAAGATATTAGAACTTTCTTAAATGGCAGGGGGTGGGGGTGACCCCTGGGGACTAACCCTGTATTTCATTTGATGTGCTTTATCATGACAAACAAGAATGTATATGGTTTAGGGGTAGGGATCGCTACCATTTACAAGATATTTGAACTTTCTCAAATGGCAGGGGGTTGGGATGACCCCTGGGGACTAACCCTGTATATCATTCAAACCATCTTAGCATGACAAACCAGAATATATATGGTTTAGGGGTGGGGATCTTGACCACTTACAAGTTATTAGAACTTTCTTATATAGTAGGGGGGTGGGGGTGACCCCTTGGGACTAACCCTGTATTTCATTTAATGTGCTTTATCATTTAGAACATAAACCCCATTGCACAAACAAAACCCTGATTGCACCACAAGACATGTTAGTCTAACATATTGTGAAACCCTAAGTTAATCTGACAAGCGGTTTTGGAGAACGGGTGCGGACAAGTTCAAATTTAAAAGTGGCGGAAGAGGAAGAAGAAGAAGAAGAATAATAATAATAACTAGATTTGCCATTGCAAGCAATAGCGGATGTCACCCTTCCCCCCATTGCCTCTAAGCGGCAGCCATTTTGAAAATTTTAAACAGTGAATGGACATATATGCATGGCTTTACATCTTTCTGTAAATTTTCAGAACATTTGGAGCATTTTGAAATTTTTACACAATTTTGCTGTTTCCATGGCAACGGCGGCCATTTTGGAAATTCCAAAGCCAGAAGTCTCATTTATACTTGTCAGTTAACATTAATATTAAGTTTCATAAAGTTTGGAGCATTTTGAAATTTTTGACATTTTTGCTGGTTTCCATGGTAACACAGACCATTTCCAAAATTTTAATGACAGATGCCACATTGGTACATTGGAGGGAACATACCATCAAGGTTTCAATGGATTTGACCTACCATTTTAAGAGAGGAAATGCTACATTAAGGTTTTTGGATCATTTTGACCTGTTTTGCATTGTTTCCATGGTAACGGCAGATATTTTTGAAATTCCAACGCCAAATTCACATTTACCAATGTTGCTCATCATTACTGTGAAGTTTCATAAGGTTTGGATCATTTTGATATTTTTGAATTTTTTGGTGTAGTTTCCATGGCAACATTGTAGTTCCGATGATTGCCAAAATCATCCAAAACCAGTATATAGTGGACACCTACATTGTATTAAAATTTGATGATTTTAAGTCAAAGCATACCCAAATAATTCACCAAACCCTATAATTTTATTTTTTCATCTTTTTTCGGTTTCCATGGTAACGGCAGCCATTTTTTAGTTCCAAAGTTGCACTGCAACTCGAAAGTCAGGGTTCCTTGTTATAGTGCACCATCATTTAGATTGGTACCTTTGGCTCTGAGCAAACTGGCGGACAAAATTAGGTGGAAGAAAAATAATAATAATAATAATAAATATAAATCAATTGTTTTAAAAACAATTGTTAACGGTCTTTCCCCTCCGAAACATGAATGATTGATTGATTGATGGATTGATTGATTGATTGATTGATTGATTGATTGATTGATTGATTGATTGATTGATTGATTACACACGTAGGATAGGGTCGCTTGAAACAAGCAAACACGAAACAAATGAGATCTTGGACCTGTATTAAACACAAGGGACCACAACAAGCATATAATGGTTGGTTGGTTGGTAGGTAGGTGGTTTGGTTGGTTGGTTAAACACATTGGGCGGATCAACTAGGACAACGCAAAAAGGGAATTGAGAGTCTAGTGCCCGTGTTTAAACATGGAACACGTGAAAAAGGCAATGAGAGCCTAGTGCCCGTGTTTAAACACTTGAGACCTAGCCTCTAGGAACACGTGAAAAAGGCATTGAGAGCCTAGTGCCCGTGTTTAAACACTTGAGACCTAGCCTCTAGGAACACGTGAAAAAGGCATTGAGAGCCTAGTGCCCGTGTTTAAACACTTGAGACCTAGCCTCTAGGAACACGTGATAAAGGCATTGAGAGCCTAGTGCCCTTGTTTAAACACTCGAGACCTAGCCTCTAGGAACACTTGAAAAAGGCATTGAGAGCCTAGTGCCCGTGTTTAAACACTCGAGACCTAGCCTCTAGGAACACGTGAAAAAGGCATTGAGAGCCTAGTGCCCGTGTTTAAACACTTGAGACCTAGCCTCTAGGAACACGTGAAAAAAAAGGTATTGAGAGCCTAGTGCCCGTGTTTTAACACTTGAGACCTAGCCTCTAGGAACAAGTGAAAAAGGCATTGAGAGCCTAGTGCCTGTGTTCAAACACTTGAGACCTAGGCTCTAGGAGCACACGAAAACGGGTCCGTGCAACATTTAAGTTATATTCAAGTTATGATATTTGTAGGAACATGCAAGGATTTAAACAGGCCTTCAAAAATATCCTTGCATCTTCCTTTATAAATGTTCTTTTTTTTTGATAGTGCTTCCCGGAATTTGTGTCTTATTTTTTACTTATTGATCTTATTGTGTGTGCATTGTATTCAATTTTGTATTTAAAATGGCCCGACCTGACCTGCATGGATCTTTTGTATTTAACCTATGTGATTAATTCTTTCCGAAAAGGGGGATACCCCTATTTTATTTTAGGTAGCAGGCGTTGCACCGGATGATTGACATGATTGTGACGTCACCAAGCTGATTGATATACACAGAAAGATAGTTTATTTAATTTAGTTGCAGAGAGAGACGTCGTTCTGACCACACCTATGTATAAAGAATGTGCAACCGGATTTAATTTTCTTTCATTTACAGGTCATTGAAGTCTGATCATGCATGCTTTTCTCGTACACATATTTACGGGAACACAGATTTCATTTTAATGCATGTTTAGACATTTGATTCTAGGATTTTACTACTATTTACGAACTTTGGAGGGAATTCTAGTAATTGATTTTAATTTCTCAATCCAGATTGGAACGTTAAGCAGACTGCACGTGATTTATACTGCTAACGGAAAATATATTTTTTCGATTTTTTTACAGGTAAACTATTGTCCAATCGCTGACCACTGGTCGACTCATTCATTGCATGCACACAAAAACAATGCTGGTGTTATAGTACTTTAACAAAACGTTTATGGATTAATTTTCAGAAATACATGTACATGATTTGGAGCAGATATTTTATTTTGCAGGAATAGATTTGTATTTTTGTATTTCAGAAACAAATTTATTCATGAAAAAAAAAGGATTAGCATTTTTATAATAAAATAGAAATGGGATTCCTAAAAAAAAAAAGGGGGGGGGGGGGGCTAAATGGGTAGTTGTGGGCATTGGATGATTTACAAAGATAAATTGCATGTAGGCATCATGAGAGCTGTAAAGTTTGAAGCTATAATTAGTCAATTTGTTGATTTTTCCATTTAAGTGGCATGAAAACCCCCAAAATACTACGCATATTATTTCGACAAATATTCAAGACATAAATAATGTCGCGACTCACATTTTGCTCACATTTTTTTCAATTTTACCCCTAACTTTTTTCTGAGTAAAAGCAGTTTGAAGTGAATGTCAAAATTTAGAACATGACCTTGACCTTTGACCTTGACCTTATTTTCTAAGTTGGGACCCAAGGACCTTCAATAAAGCGACTCTAGGTTTATACGGCTTACGGTTTATGAGTTTATATGCATATCACTTATATCAAATGCATAAGGGGAAATAACTCTCATATGGAGACTCCGGAGAACTTTGGTGCAAACCGACTCATCATCTTGAAGATATAGGAAGCACTTTGGTAAAATAAATTTGTCGTAATCTTTTACAGTTGCGAAGGAGTAGTGGAAACAAGAAAAACAGTGTTCGGGGAGATAACTCTTACAACGTAAAGTGTACGGTTTAACAGGGTCAGTTCCAAAAGCGCAATAACTGTTCGATATCATAAGCGAAAAATCTAAGCGACATCTTGCAAAACCACAATACTACGCAAGAACCAAATGTGGCGGAAGAAAAAAATAAAATCTCAGAACAAAACCAATAGGTCTTTCCACGGAAAAGTGGAAAGACCTAATAATAATAATAATAGGGAAAAAGAAACAGAGGAAAAGCAATATGTCACCCGACATTGTCGATCGGGTGACATAATAAGAAACGGGACAAAAACATAAAGTCCCCAAAACTCCGTTTTGGCGACTTAATAAGAACTGAGCATAACCAATAAGTCTTCCCAAACTTCGTTTGGGAGACTTAATAATGATGGTCAGTACAAGATTACTACTTTACCTACAGGACTGGGGATTTACCCATTATGTTTTAAATCATATATATTATTAATAGTTAAATATCATGCTAGATTAACTGACATTGAGAATGGGCACTACAAAAATAATGATCAATTGAGATCTATATTGAAGCAGGAAGCAATCAAGTTGCATAAACTTCAAAACTTATCAAATTTTGATTCATTTCAAATATACCTTGCTGTATTGGAGAACGCACTTGAAAACTTTTATTAAACTAAAATATAACATAAATATTAAGAGGATTTTAAATCCAATAAAACAGTGCTTCTTATTTGAATTGTTTCACATTTTTCTTGTCAGAGCCTTTTATAGCAGACTATACGGTATAGGTTTTTCTTATTGTTGAAGGCCATATGATGGCCAAAAATTGATATATCTGCTTCATTTGCACTCTGTTGGATAGCTATATCATTGGCAATCATACCAAATCTCCTAACTTTTATATTTTATAGCTAAATTGTTATCTTCTCTCTTTTATCACAAATGCTAGTCATTTGACTTGATATATCATCTGAGTTTTGATATAACAAAATTTGAGATATTATTGCGCACAAAAATAAGAATAAGTGCACACTCATTTGCTATCGAATAAGGGTAGAACAGCAAACTTAACATTTTAGCTTCATAAGGGTTCAGCAATTACAGTAAAGACAAAAAAGATGCATTTATTAAAGTTAGATAAACACATGTTTATGTTTATATTTTTTAAAGTTTGTTTACAAACAAAGTTTTCACGTGTTTGTGTGTCACCAATAAGTAATCTGGTGACTGTTAATATTAAACAGGTTTATTATTATTCAATTTTAAATTAGATATAATAGGTTGGTGTTATGATGCAATACTATGATTTAGGAATTGTTATGTAAATAGCATGGATATTTTAAAATAAATTCAAGCGGGAATAGTTTTCTTGTTAATATAAAAGGTTATTCGAAGATCGTTTTATCCGCAGCAAGGATCGTTTTGTATGATTTCCCACCCACCTATTCTTCAGAATATGTTTATATATTTGAGCACTGTGCAGTTTTTGTGAAAACTTATTGTGTTTTGTCGTAATTTATTACTTACATGTTCTTACGTGATGATTTTTTATTTTGTAGATCGTTTATGTCCAAAAGTTGGCACCGCAGCAGTCAGTGTGCTTTTGATGGACATTTAATAGTGTTTTGTTTATCTAATAAAATAAAACTTGCTGCACATATACTGGTGAGCTGTTCCTATAAACAAGTGTTTGTTTTTATTTGATAAATATAAATATCTTGTATGTTCAGTTTAGTTACACTAATTAGAAGATAATAGAAATTACCTTCAAGCTGTCATCTAAGTCCATTGTCTCAATAAGTTTACCTGGATGGTGTTCTCCCAGGGGAAATGGATAATCTGAACCCATACATATTCTATCCTACAAATATTTTATAAATTGTTTATTATAAGTTAGATTGGCAGGTACAAAAAATATAACATTATCCATTGATAATATATCCTCTCATATCCTGAAATCAGTAATATTGTAGTTTTAGTCAACAGATTTGGTTGATTATGTCTCACACCTGAATTTAGATCAAACATACTTTTGGTTTTGAAGTGTTGATAAAAATAGAAATCAACTTTCCAACATAAAATCATAAATGAGATTCTTAAAGGTAAAATTCCACCCTAATATTTCAACTTATTAACTGTTTTCCTTATGTATATTTTTGGCTCTTGCTAAAAGTTTGAAATCAATTTTTTATCTAAGGAATTTACTCTACTAGCCCTTTTGTTATTCTACAGATTTGAATTAAAAGGGGAGGGTTAAAATATCAATAAACTAGTTTAACCCTTCCACATGTACCTGTGCTTATTTAACGTAGTCAGTGGTTATTTTTAGTTATTACTTAATGCTTTTTTTTCATTTTTTTGTTGATGAAAGATCTTTGTTGGTCTGTTAAACTTATTCAAAATTTGTTTTATGTTTAGTGCAAATTAATACTTGATAAATAATGTATAGCTGTCAAAGCTGTCTGTTGTTGAAGACCATATGTTGACCTCTTATGGAACGCCACAGCTGTCTTATGTGGTACTTTGACATTACGTTATGTTGTTTTATCATTACTTGATGATATTTTGTCATTACATAATATGATTTTGACATACCTTAATGATGTTTTCAAATTACTTAATGATATTTTGACATTACTCAATATGGTATAGTGATCATTACTTAATGATATTTTGATATTACAAGATATGGTTTCATATTGACTTGATATGGTTTTGTCATTACTTTATATGATTTCAACATTATTTAATGAGATTTTGTCATTAGGCAATGTGGTTTTAACATTACTTGATGTGTATGTGGGTTAACGTAATGTTGTTGCTTCACTACATGATGTGGTTTTGTTATTTCGTAATGATGATTTGGCAATTCTTTATATGGCTTTAACAATACTTAATGATGTTTCAAAATTTGACGATATTACACTACATGATGTGTTTGTTCAAGTATTTCATATGATTCTGTCATTCTTTGATGTGGTTATCACATTCATGACATTACTTGATGAGGTTAAACCATGTGACCATTTGGGAAAAACTAGTTCTATCTTTAAACTGATTTCCATATGCATGTCATTCAAAGTGAAAGTGAAAGCCCTGGATCCGCGATAGAAAATTTAATTACAAACTCATATATGACATTACTTGATGAGGTTAAACCATGTGACCATTTGGGAAAAACTAGTTCTATTTTTAAACCAATTTCTATATGCATGTCGTTCAAAGTGAAAGTGAAAGCCCTGGATCCTCAATAGAAAATTTAAATACAAACTCATATAAAATAACTCTTAATCTAAATGAGACTCAAATTCGAAGTCTATCTCAAACTCTACCTCAAAAGGTGACTCAAATTCAAAGTTGAAGTTGACTTGTACCTCGTACACTACCCTTAAATGTGACTCAAACTCGAAATTCAACTCGAAACTCAATATTCTCACTCAAACTTTAATTCTAATTATGTCACATTAAACAAATGACATGGAAATTGGTTTAATAATAGAACTGGTTCTTCCCAAATGGTCACATGGTTTTACTTCATTAAGTAATGTGATAACCACATCAAAGAATGACAGAAACACATCAAATACTTGAATTGACAGAACCACATCATGTAATGAAACAACTACATTACTTTAACCAACATACACATCAAATAATGTTAAAACCATATTGCTTAATGACACAACCATATTAAATGATGTTGAAATCATATTAAGTAATGACAAAACTGCATTGAGTAATGACTAAACCATATCAAGTCATTACGAAACCAAATCCTGTAATATTGAAATATCATTAAGTAATGACTATACCATATTGAGTAATATCAAAACATCATAAAGTAATGTCAAAACCATATTATATAAAGACAAATATCATCAAGTAATAATAAAATTCGTAAGGGTTCCGCGGAACCTAGTGTCTCGCCTACTTCTGCTGTTTATCACAGGCTCAACAAAAATGAGGAAAAAAATTAATAAAAATATTCCTCTCTATACTATCTTTTGATTGTAAGTAGCTTCTGTCCAAGTTTGGTAAAAATCCAGGATAGTTTATGAATCTAATAAATGTTTTAAATAAAAACTTAAACTGTTATGTAATGTTAACTGGAAGAAAAACTAAGTCCATTTATAAGTAAAATACGGAAAAAATGGAAAAATATTTTAACAAAACTTCCTTTTAGATACTAGCTTTTAATCATAAACAAGCTTCTGTCCAAGTTTGGTACAAATCCAGGATAGTTTAAGAAAGTTGTTAAAATTTTAAAAACTTTAACCACAGAGTGAATGTAATGTTAACTGGCAGAAAAACTAAGTCCATTTAAAAAAAAAAAAATCCAGGATAGTTTATGAATCTAATAAATGTTTTAAATAAAAACTTAAACTGTTATGTAATGTTAACTGGAAGAAAAACTAAGTCCATTTATAAGTAAAATACGGAAAAAATGGAAAAATATTTTAACAAAACTTCCTTTTAGATACTAGCTTTTAATCATAAACAAGCTTCTGTCCAAGTTTGGTACAAATCCAGGATAGTTTAAGAAAGTTATTAAAATTTCAAAAACTTTAACCACAGAGTGAATGTAATGTTTCCTGGCAGAAAAACTAAGTCCATTTATAAGTAAAATACGGAAAAAATGGAATTTTTTTTTTACAAAATTTACTTTTGAATATTATCTTATGATCATAAACAAGCTTCTGTCCAAGTTTGGTAGAAATCCAGGATAGTTTAAGAAAGTTATTAAAATTTCAAAAACTTTAACCACAGAGTGAATATTTGTGGACGCCGCCGACAACAACGACAACGACGACGACGACGCCGACGGAATGTAGGATCGCTATGTCTCGCTTTTTTCGACAAAAGTCGAAGGCTCGACAAAAACCACATAACGTAATATCAGAGTTCCACATAAGACAGCTGTGGCGTTCCATAGAAAGAACATTATTCCTTATAGGTAGGTGTTTCATAACCTCTATATCTTGTTATTTTTGTGCTGTTGGTTTGCTGTTACAATAACCTTTACCCCACATCTCCTTTTATTAAATTTTCATTGTGATCTTCCTGACTCTACTGACAAGGAGTGAAACAGAATCTTACCGACATTATGCTTATCAAACTGGTTTATAATGGTACCAAACATCTCTTAACACATCTACTTACTTCTCCTATAACATCCACCAGTAGTTTAAGAGAAATCGGGTCATGAACTAATGAATCAGTGTAAAATTTTCCTAGAAAACTACGAGGGCTTTCCTTACAATCTGAAGCACATAAATCAGGCCTGACATTGTATCCATGTTCTATTCTACCAACAGTAAAAGGGAAAGCTCCACCTAAAAGATAATAAGAAAATTAGTTTGTTTTCATAAAAAACAAACGATGTTCCTCTCTCTTTACAAAGATTTTTCTTCCTCATACATCATGTAAATATACTGTGAACCCAATACGATATTTTAGTATTTCAATGACTGCACTTGTAATTAATTCAGACACATTTTTAATTTGTCCTCCTGCTAACTCCTTAGATACTGTTCCTCCGAGTGGAATTTCATTATTTTCGTCCATGTATAACTGTTTGTGAGGGTTTTTAGTTTAGTTATTCCTGCTCCTGATTCTATTTCCTAAAGGATCAAATTTACATGAGTGAATATTTCTTCGATTTTTTCATCATCTCATAATAAGCGAAAATTAAAAACTCACGATAATTTCCCACTTCAGGGTCAAACTTCCAACACAAGATTAAATAATTGTTTTCAGAAATTGGATTTATCGCTTTTGTAACTAATAATTGGGCAATGCTGGAATTGGATATTTGTTTCCCTTTCACCATTTATACTAGTTTATTCTTTTCTTTTGGAAATAAACATAAGCTTTGTTTTCCAGCATTGCACAAGAACCAGCAGAAATTAGACTTCTAGAGCAAGTGTTAAAAATAGCCACAAAAGTGTGTATTGTCACTTTAAATTTTCTAATAAATTTAATATTTATATGGGCATTTATTTAGGTACCTTTAATTTATTATGCAGAATAAAAATTATAAAGCCTTTCCACACATATACCCAAACACTTCTTTTGTTTATCCACATACCAAATATTGTTGACTTGTCAAGTATAGTAATTGAAAGAGGATCTAATCCAGAAAACTTGACATGAACACTGGAGAATGACAATGAATTCACAGCCCGGTGACAATGACAGACTGACAATTTTCATCCTCAGTGAAGTTGGAGAAAAGTTATTGATGTTATTTGCACATTTTTATTTCTGCTGCCAAAGAAAAAGTAATACCTTTGGATCATCAACTGCAACTTTTCATGCAGGTGAGACAAAAATTTGTCATACATACATTTATAGACAATTTGATATGTTATCTCCATCCATGCCCAAAATGAATTAAGGCTTTTCCAATACCCCATGAAAAATTATATAATTAGGAAGAGGTCCAATATACCAAATTTCTTTTAGCTATTCAGGGGGGGATATTTGCTAAATATGAAAAAACTATATGTTGCAGGATGACTCTAATGCTCTAGCCTGCTGCCAAAAACAATTTTCATGAAACTTTTAAAGTGTAATTTCATGAAAAGTAGGTCATTCAATTTCATCTGTAACTCTCCATTATGAACTTATAACCGCAAACAGCTCAAAGTCTGCAGACATAATGAAAAAAGTTAAGAAGAGGCTTGAATATAATTGATTGTTTTGACTGCAATACATGTACTATAGACTGATAATATCTGTACCTCCATGTGCAAAGCAGACCTTTAGTTTGGGAAATTGTTGAAACACCCCTCCCATTGTCATACAGCATATGGCTGTTGCAGTCTCACTTGGCATGCCTGAAAGAATAAAAAAAAAGAGTTAGCTTTTCCTTTTCTTCTTCAGAACTGCTGCAATATGTTACACATGAAGATGTCATTGTTTACATATCAATACTCCCCGGCATTAACTTTCAAGTCAAACATAAAATACAGACCGCACACAAAAGTCATTGTTTAGTGAGATAGCAGAACAGAGCCATCATCAACTTATGTTACATATATTACAGATATTTAATCAAATCATCGTTGATGCTGTGATTCAGCTATTTGTTTAGTTATGGCCGATAGACCAACATTTTTTCTGATCTCATTTTTAATCAAAAAAAATGTATACAATGTATATAGTTTTATACTTTTTACCTATATTTACCTGTGTTATTGGCGCAAATGAAATATGGTTTGAGGCGCAAATGAAAGATTTTTTTGGTGCAAATGAAATGCCAATTGGTGCAAAAGCAAAGCACTGTTGTTGTTGTGCATAATTTCAAATCATATTCTCAGGTAATGTGGTGAAGAAAAACTAGAGGCTCTCAAGAGCCTGTGTCACTCACCTGTATCTATGTGGTTTTGGAAATCATGTAAAATAAGGTTAAAATCCTAATAAATAGTATATAATACCCTCATAATGATTGAGGCCAAGTTTGGTTTAATTAGGCCCAGTAGTTAAATTAAAAGCAGATGATTTTTGAAAAAAGTTTACAAAAATTACCAATTAATTGCAGAAAATGACTTTAAAGGACAAAAACTCCAATGAGATGTCAATTGACGATTTTGGTCATGTTGACTTATTTGTAGATATTTCTTTGCTTGATATCTTTGCTGTTTACGGTATATCTTAATCTATAATGATATTCAAGATAATTAACCAAAATTGCAATATGATGCTGTCATGAAAGTCTCTCAAATGAACACCAATTGAATACCCCTCCTCTCCAAAATTTATTTCACCCAGGGCCTGTATAATGCTGGAAATGCCTTTAAATGTTTTTTGGGAACACCCTTCAAAAAAAATTTGGGCAGGGGGGCATTCACCCAATATAAGTATGCTGAAAGAGACGATATAATAATGGTTTATAGAAAAGTAACTGAATAATTCTGAAATGGAAAAAATCAAGCAGAAATTATAAGCACCCCACCCCCCTAAAAAAAATGCCCCCTCCCATGGTAAAAAAAAATCATGTCATCCCATCTACAATCTGTAGTCTTACAATAGTTACTGAAGACCCCTTATCATTATTCCAATTAGTTTTTAATTTGTGACCATTTAAAATTGTTTTTTTTACAATTTTCTCATAGACTTCTATAGTAAACTCCTATGTTCTATTTTTAGCCATGGCAGTCATGTTGTTTGGATGGCAGGGTCATCAGATACATTTTTCAATCAAGATACCCTATTGAAAATTGTGGCTAAGTTTAATTCTATTTGGCCCAGTAGATTAAGTGGAGAAGATTTTTGTAAAAGATTACAAAAATTTACAAAAAATTGTTAAAAATTGACTATAAAGGGCAATAACTCTCTGAGGGGTCAATTTACAATTTAAGTCATGTTGACTTATTATTTGATCTTACTTTGCAGAACATTATTGCTGTTTTCAGTTTATCTCTATCTTTAATAATATTCAAGATAATAACCAAAAACTGCAAAATTTCCTTAAAATTACCAATTGCAAATCAAGGGCAGCAGCCCAACAATGAGTTGTCTGATTCTTCTGAAAATTTCAGGATAGATAGATCTTAATCTGATGAACAAAAATTCTTTAGTTTCAGAGATATAAGTCAAAAACTGCATTTTACCCATGTTCTATTTTTAGCCATGTCGGCCATGTTGGTTGGCAGGCGGGGTCATGGGACAAATTATTAAAACTAGATACCCTAATGATGATTGTGGCCAAGTTTGGTTAAATTTGGCCCAGTAGTTTCAGAGGAGAAGATTTTTGTAAAAGTTAACCTGACGACGACAACGACAATGACAACGATGGATGCCAAGTGATGAGAAAAGCTCACGTGGCCCATTGGGCCAGGTGAGCTAAAAAAACTTGATGTATTACTCTTGCATTAAATTCAGAAAGATAATTAGGTTTTTCCAGTTGATAAAACAAGCTTGTCTTCCTAAATTTACAAGTAAATGGTTGCTTTTAGGGATATTTCTATTTTTAAACATAGGTATGCAATTTGTCTAACCCATCTTAGGATCATTTATTGATTTTTTATTAAAAATTATATGACACTAAAGATGAATGGTTTTATTTCATTTCCATAATTTTATTCAAAAAGTTGTAATTGCCCAAAGATGGAGAATTTCTCAATTTTGATACAAATTCTTTTGATAGCTCAATTTTGAGAAGAGGCACTGATTTCTAATATCTCTTTTTTTTCAATTAAATAATTTTGGCATGATTGGAAAAAGAAATCTTCAAAAGAAGTTATAGTATATTTTTTATTGAAGTTTTTCATAATTTCAGAAAAGAGGCATTGAAAATGCACTTTTTCGACAACAAAAATCAAATAACTACTTTTTATTTGAATTGGTGTTTATTCTTCATTGAGTAAAAATAATTTCCTGTATTGAAATATACATGTACAATACCTTAAACTGTAAAATAGCAATATAATGGGGAACAAAAAAATTATATTGCAGAAAATCCCCAGGTTATAGTTATGCAATTTTGTTAGTTTTTTCAGGCTAATTAATGATAATTAAATGAACATAAATTATTGACTTATATTAGATGATTATAACACTGATTTTACAAGTAATATAGACCCTGCTTGCATTTTTTCATACATATTTTGTTTTTTGTCATTTCTTTGCAAAAACTTGCATTTTCTTTTATCCTTAATCATTCATCTCCGAGAAATAATTTATAGAATAATTTTATGTAGTGTACATCAAAAGTGATTATAGGTCTACTATTGAGGTTAATATTTTTGTGTATTTAACTATGTAATACAAGAGATATTAACTGTGGTCAAATAAGATTGGCATTAAAGTGGAGGGGATTTGAAATTATACTCCAACCTTTTAGTGAAATTATTTGTAAACAATGACAGTTGTCTATCATACTATCATACGAAACACTGTGTACCACATTTTATTCAATTACTTACTCAAGCATAAGATACTGATAAAATACTTTCATAATTCTCATCAACTGTTTAAATTTGATTTATTACTTTTTCACATTAATCAATAATAGTTATTTATTATGAATTTTGATTTACAAAGGAACTATATGCAAGTGTATATCTAAAATAAAGTAACTGTTCAACCAATCATTTCTTAATTTAAGGGCAAATAACATGTCAAAAGTTGGCAATAGATGATTAAAATGGTGTATAAAGTTTCTGCAAGTCATAAAAACATATAATTAGTTTCATGATATGTCTTCAAATTAGAAATCTGCACCATCTCCAAATCGGGAGTGATCACATAGATCCAGAATGGCTGAATCAAAAATACAAGTTCATTTATTTCAATTCAACTTTCAGGGCAGGTTAACTTATGTCAATTCAACATAAATTTATAACTACCAAGGGTAATTCATTAACTGAACTTATTCTATTAAAAAAATTTCCTATCTTAATCTGAAATGACAAATCTGACAATTAAAAGTATAAAGCTGAAAAGGACAATAGATGCTCACACTGACAAAATTATAATCATTTAACATAGATTCATATAAACAAAATAATTCTAGTGGTACACTTTGAACACATTGCTGTTTTTTATAAAATATTGTTAAATTTTGCATAGAAAGGCATATGTATACATATTGCAGTTCTAAGATATTTATAAGCATGCTTATTTTGGTAAAATGTCCAGAAATACACCAAAAAGCACAGGAATCTATTAACTTGCAGATATCATAAGACTTTTAGAAAATTGGTGTGAAATTTGTGTGAGATTGACCCTACCTCCCATACAAGTTATCCAGAAATGAAAGAAGAAATAAATGTTCACAATACTGTAAATTCAGAAATTATTGCATTCATTTATCATTGCGATTTTTGAAAAATGAAAAAAAAAGCGAAATTTATTATTGCGATTTCAGGAAAATCTGTATACAGATGAATGTATCAGATATCAAAATGCGAGTTCTTATTATTGCAATACTCACCCAGTCGCATTATTTGCAATAATTTCTGCATTTACAGTAGATTAAAAAGAAACAGACAGAACTGGTGAACCTTTTTTTTTGCTTTTCAAAACAACACAATATTCATTTACTGCAGTAAGAATCTACTTTAAAAATAACTTACCAACGAGCCAAGGTAGCCAGTACTTTTTCATTCTTTCACCCTGATCCATATCCCATGGATGAACAAAAATTCCAACTTCATGTTCCTCAGCTGCCTATAAAGTCAATATAAAAGCATTAAGTTTTCATTAGTTCAGCTGTCTACAAAGTAATATGAATTTGTTTAGTTTTCAATAGTTTAGCTGCCTACAAAGTAGGTACACAAAACTGTATAAACTTGTTTAGTTTTCAATAGTTTATATACTTATAAAGTAAGTAAACTAGAGGCTCTCAAGAGCCTGTGTTGCTCACCTGATTCTACTTTGGTTTTGGAAATCATGTTAAAATAGATTAAAATCATAACAGATACCCTTATAATGAGTGAGGCCAAATTTGGTTTAATATTGGCCCTATAATTTAATAAAAAATCCTGTTGGCCATCTTGAATAGTAAATCAGCAACAAAGTAGCAACACTTCATCAGCACCTCATAAGAAACATTTATGCCATGTTTGGTTTCATTCCATTCAGTGCACCTCTAGAAGAAGCATTTGTATGTCTTTCCAATAGGGTCTTATGTTAAAGGAAGTCCCCCCGCTGGCGGCTATCGTGGATGAAGGATCAGCTTCAAAGTAACAACACTTAGTCAGTATCTCATAAGGAACATTCATGCCATGTTTGGTTTAAATCAATTCAGTGGTTCTCTAAAAGAAGACATTGTATGTATTTTCCATAGGGTCCTTTGTTAAACACTGTCCCCAGCTGGTGGCCATCTTGGATGATGGATCGGCTTCAAAGAAACAACACTTGGTCAGCACTTCATAAGGAACATTCATGCCATGTTTGGTTTCATTCCATTCAGTGGTTCCCTAAAAGAAGACATTCGTATGTATTTCCCATAGGGTCCTATGTTAAACTAAGTCCCCCGCTGGCAGCCATCTTGGATGATGGATCAGCTTCAAAGTAACAACACTTGGTCAGCACCTCAAAAGGAACATTCATGCCATGTTTGGTTTCATTCTATTGAGTGGTTCTTTAAAAGAAGACATTTAAAATTGAGAATGGAAATGGGGAATGTGTCAAAGAGACAACAACCCGACCATAGAACAGACAACAGCAGAAGGTCACCAACAGGTCTTCAATGCAGCGAGAAATTCCCACACCCGGAGGCGTCCTTCAGCTGGTGGCCATCTTAAACACTGTCCCCAGCTGGTGGCCATCTTGGATGATGGATCGGCTTCAAAAAACAACACTTGGTCAGCACCTCATAAGGAACATTCATGACATGTTTGGTTTCATTCCATTCAGTGGTTCTCTAAAAGAAGACATTCGTATGTATTTCCCATAGGGTCCTATGTTAAACTAAGTCCCCCGCTGGCAGCCATCTTGGATTATGGATCGGCTTCAAAGTAACAACACTTGGTCAGCACTTCATAAGAAACATTCATGCCATGTTTGGTTTCATTCCATTAAGTGGTTCTCTAAAAAGAAGACATTTGTAAATATTTCCCATTGGGTCCTATGTTAAACTAAGTCCCCCGCAGGCGACCATCTTGGATCATGGATCAGCTTCAAAGTAACAACACTTGGTCAGCACTTCATAAGAAACATTCATGCCATGTTTGGTTTCATTCCATTCAGTGGTTCTCTAAAAGAAGACATTTGTAAATATTTCCCATAGTGTCCTATGTTAAACTAAGTCCCCCGCTGGCGGCCATCTTGGATGATGGATCGGCTTCAAAGTAACAACACTTGGTCAGCACTTCATAAGGAACATTCATGCCATGTTTGGTTTCATTCCATTCAGTGGTTCTCTAAAAGAAGACATTTGTAAATATTTCCTGTAGGTCCTATGTTAAACTAAGTCCCCTGCTGGCGGCCATCTTGGATGATGGATCGGCTTCAAAGTAACAACACTTGGTCAGCACCTCATAAGGAACATTCATGCCATGTTTGGTTTCATTCCATTCAGTGGTTCTCTAAAAGAAGACATTCATATGTATTTCCCTTAGGGTCCTATGTTAAACAAAGTCCCCCGCTGGAGGCCATCTTGGATGATGGATCAGCTTCAAAGTAACAACACTTGGTCAGCACTTCATTACGAACATTCATGTCATGTTTGGTTTCATTCCATTAAGTGGTTCTCTAAAAGAAGACATTCGTATGTATTTCCCATGGGTCCTATGTTAAACTAAGTCCCCTGCTGGCGGCCATCTTGGATGATGGATCGGCTTCAAAGTAACAACACTTGGTCAGCACCTCATAAGAAACATTCATGCCATGTTTGCTTTCATTCTATTCATTGGTTCTCTAAAAGAAGACATTTGTAAATATTTCCCATAGGGTCCTATGTTAAAATAAGTCCCCCGCTGGCAGCCATCTTGGATGATGGATCGGCTTCAAAGTAACAACACTTGGTCAGCACCTCAAAAGGAACATTCATGCTATGTTTGGTTTCATTCCATTCAGTGGTTCTCTAAAAGAAGACATTTGTAAATATTTCCTGTAGGTCCTATGTTAAACTAAGTCCCCTGCTGGCGGCCATCTTGGATGATGGATCGGCTTCAAAGTAACAACACTTGGTCAGCACCTCATAAGGAACATTCATGCCATGTTTGGTTTCATTCCATTCAGTGGTTCTCTAAAAGAAGACATTCATATGTATTTCCCTTAGGGTCCTATGTTAAACAAAGTCCCCCGCTGGAGGCCATCTTGGATGATGGATCGGCTTCAAAGTAACAACACTTGGTCAGCACTTCATTACGAACATTCATGTCATGTTTGGTTTCATTCCATTAAGTGGTTCTCTAAAAGAAGACATTCGTATGTATTTCCCATGGGTCCTATGTTAAACTAAGTCCCCTGCTGGCGGCCATCTTGGATGATGGATCGGCTTCAAAGTAACAACACTTGGTCAGCACCTCATAAGGAACATTCCTGCCATGTTTGCTTTCATTCTATTCATTGGTTCTCTAAAAGAAGACATTTGTAAATATTTCCCATAGGGTCCTATGTTAAAATAAGTCCCCCGCTGGCGGCCATCTTGGATGATGGATCGGCTTCAAAGTAACAACACTTGGTCAGCACCTCAAAAGGAACATTCATGCTATGTTTGGTTTCATTCAAATCAGTGGTTCTCTAAAAGAAGACATTTGTAAATATTTCCTGTAGGTCCTATGTTAAACTAAGTCCCCTGCTGGCGGCCATCTTGGATGATGGATCGGCTTCAAAGTAACAACACTTGGTCAGCACCTCATAAGGAACATTCATGCCATGTTTGGTTTCATTCCATTCAGTGGTTCTCTAGAAGAAGTTCAAAATGTAAAAAGTTAACGACAACGAAGATGGCGGACGACGGACGCCAAGTGATGAGAAAAGCCCAGCCTTCGGGCCAGGTGAGCTAGAAATATGTTTAGTTGTCAATAGATAAGCTTTCTGCAAAGAAGATAAAAAAAAAGTGTTTAGTTTTCATTTGTTTAGCTGCCTACAAAGTAAGTATAAAAAGTGTTTAGTTGTCATTTGTTTAGCGGTCTTCAAAGTAAGAAAAAGGTGTTTAGTTGTCAATAGTTTAGCTGCCCACAAAGTAGGTATAAACATGTTTAGTTGTCTACAAAGTATTAAAGTAAAAAGTTGTTTACTTGTCAATAGTTGAGAGGTGTCTACAATGTTAGTAAAAAACTTGTTTAGTTGTCAACAGTATAGTGGTCTGTAAAGCAGGTAAAAAAGTGTTTAGTTGTCAACAGTATAGTGGTCTGTAAAGCAGGTAAAAAAGTGTTTAGTTGCCATTTGTTTAGCTGTCTACCAAGTAGGTAAAAAGGTGTTTAGTTGTCAAAAGTTTAGCTGCCTACAAAGAAGGTAAAAAAAATGTTTAGTTGTCATTTGTTTAGCGGTCTTCAAAGTAAGAAGGTGTTTAGTTGTCAATAGTTTAGCTGCTTACAATGTAGTTATAAACATGTTTAGTTGTCTACAAAGTATTAAAGTAAAAAGTTGTTTATTTGTCAATAGTTGAGGTGTCTACAATGTTAGTAAAAATCTTGTTTAGTTGTCAACAGTATAGTGGTCTGTAAAGCAGGTAAAAAAGTGTTTAGTTGCAATTTGTTTAGCTGACTACAAAGTAGGTAAAAAAGGGGTTTAGTTTCAAAAGTTTAGCTGCCGGCAAAGTAGGTAAAAAGGTGTTTAGTTGTCAATATATATATAGCTTAGCTGTCTTTAATGTAAGTAAAAAGGTGTTTAATTGTCAATAACTTAGCTGTCTTTAAAGTAATTAAAAAGGTTTTAAGTTGTCAATAGTTTATATGCTGTCTTCAAAGTAAGTGAAAAGGTGTTTAATTGTCAATAGTTTGTAGTGACACTGAATTATTAGGGGTGATATATCACATTAAGTATGAAACAAAATGTATCAACTGAAGATAATTAAATAGGTTTGATTTTATCTCCATCATAAGCCTCAGTATTACCTCCCCTGACTGATATGATAATGATCAGTTAGTCTATATTCATGTATTTAAATCAACTTAGTTCTGCAAAATGAATAAAATCCACTTTATTATTAATTCAAATGAGCATCATCTTAACTTATTACAATATTTCTCGTGAGGATTTAATAAATTATGCAAGAAAACTTGGGGTTACACAGTGGATTCTAACAGGGTCAAAATTTCTTAGTTTAAATTATTGTAATTCTTGACAATAAAAAAAATATAGAATCAAATATGAAAATGTATGTAAAGCTTACTTGTACTATACCTTAACTAAGTATTTTTATACCTATCATACTTTTGAATGACTTTGATTTTAACTTTTAATTTAATGCAGACAATAAAAATTCACCAGTTGCAGAATGTTAATGATTTAATTCCATCTATTATTAACTATCAAATAGTTGATAAAAATATGTTGCATACCTTGTTATTAATGCATGTAATAGGAGTCAGCTTACTAAAATGTCATATGATACTTCAAATCAAAAAGAAATAGTTTAATATGCTTTATATACTTGAATGGCTAGTTTTACTGTAAAACACATTATATGGACTTTCTTTTAAAAGATATTCCTTTATCCTGTCAAAATCTTCAGAAATGTACTGCTATTGAATTATTGTCTTCTTGTACACTAA